AGAAGAGGTATAGGTGAAGATTTGGTGAAAGACCATTGTTGTGAGAGGTTGAAGAAGAAGTTGCCATGGATCGAGCAGCAAGGGATAAAAGGATCTATCCCTGCTCTGGTACCATGTTGGAGATGAACATTATCATGCTTAAAAAATAAGAAAACAACCAATGAAAGAAACAAGAAAGCAAGCTAGGGTTTGTAGCTAATGAAGATGATCTTGTATTTCAGTAGTAATCGAGAATGTACAGGCCTGGTATATATATGGCTACCAGGAAGAATCTAGAATATAAAATGGATAAACATTACGCAATGATGAGCTGAAAATATCACCAAGAGCTAGAGGACAAAAAACCATAACAAACTAGGAATCAAACAAATAAAAAGGAGCTGGCAACATGTAGCTTTGCTAGCCATTTTCTTGGCTTTTATGCAGCTGTATTCTCACGTGTTCAACGTGTGCATGGTGGTGTCTAACAATTGGCTTCTTGACAGGTTCAAAGACATAGGCCTGCAAAATGGGCTGGGAGGTGTTCCCGACGTTAGCACTCTGACGATCAAGTTTGTCCATAGTGATAAAGCGATTAGCAGTAGATATACGTGTCAGTATACTAAAGTGAGTGGAGTGTATATGAACATACTTCAACCTTATATATAGGGGTGTTACTTTATTGCCCGAGTACCCGAACTGCCCAATTCTGTTAGGCCACTTGGTCTAATACATGTGTAGTTCTTGTCCTAATTAAATTATTTCTTATACATTAGTCTACCTTATTAGACGATCTAATAGTGCAATTTCTAACCTCTAGCCTTACAGAACGAGTGAATAATCAATTAATTCCAATCGTGGGTCCTAATCTACAACGAATGCGTCTTGTCTAATGCATTGAGGCTAATATACAGAAGAGAAAGTGTCAAAATAGTCTATACCCTCTTCTTGGGTATAGCCCTTTGCCACTAACCTAGCCTTGTACCTTTCAATACTACCATCAGATTTAAACTTTATCTTGTATACCCACTTGCATCCAATGCAATGCTTACCTTTAGGAAGTTCTGTTAATAACCATGTGTTATTCTTTTCTAGAGCTTGAATCTCTTTCTGCATTGCCTCTTGCCAGAGAGGATCAATGTTTGCTTGAGCAAAGGTTTTTGGTTCAGTAACAGCAGTTATGGATGCAGTAAAACAACTGTGGTTGTCAAACAGGTGAGATGTAGATAAAAAATCAGATATTGGATATGTGGATGTTCCAGTGTCATTTAAAAGTGTATTTGCATTATTTGAAGAAGAATGCTTCAGAGAATGTTGATAAACATTGAGATAATGTGGTATTTTTGTAACTCTGGTTGATTTTCTTGGAAGACTGGGATTTGATTTGGAAGCATTACTGGGAGGGTGATATTGGGATTTGGAGACTGGCTGATATTGTAATCGTTAGATCAACTATCATTAGACGGTAACTTGATGATCTAACGGCTACAAATCCCAACGGAATGGTTCTGTAACGGGATTGTAGCATTTTCCTATATTTCAACCTTAAAATTGTGTTCAACAATCTGGAATAGCTCAGTTGTTAGAGCGTGTGGCTGTTAACCACAAGGTCGGAGGTTCAAGCCCTCCTTTTAGAGTTTTCATTTCACTTAGTTTTGTCAGAATTTTTTTATTCTTCTCTTAATTTTTCTGCCCTATAAATGATCAAGTACTAGTATAGTATATTTTCGTCCGAATTTTAACCAAAAATTTCCATTAACAAACATGCTCTAATTTTTCCGCCCTATAAATGATCAAGTACTAGTATAGTATATTTTCGTCTGAATTTTATTACCTTTCTCATTTAACAATTTTTTCTTTATTATTAATTATCCCCCCAAAACAAATAATTTCTTTTATTTCTCCATTTTACGTTCAAGTTCTAAAATTCTCTACTGAAACTAAACAAATTATATTTTAATCCCGAATATTGTTACCATTCTCATTTTGTGACTTTGTCTCTTATAAGATTTATTCATTTTTTATTTCTTGTCCTTTTCTTTTGTATTTTTCATTTTATCAATAGAAAATGCATTCATTTCATCCATTTCTTGTTTATCCTCAAGTCGCTGTGGGTTGAGGGAAGAAGAGATCTTATGGAGAAGAACATAAGTTTTATTTTCGAGGGATTTGGTATATTGTTTTTAGGCTTTAGAATGTTCCATATTAACTTCTTGATATGCCATCAACCCTCATACTGCAAAATTTGGTTTATTATTGTTTGCAGGGATGATGGACCGAGCTTCACCTATTTTCAATGGCCATCCTTTCACTCACCAGATGACATAATTGTATCTATCTATATATATATATATATATATATATATATAGGATGTGGTTCAAATGAGAACCAAGTCCTAGTGTGAGAACCGTGAGAACTGCTATTTTTAATTGTATGTAGTGCTATGATTAATTGTGTTTTAGTGCTATTTTTAACTAGGATGTATTTGATTAAAAATAGCAACAAAATTTTTATTAGTATTTATGAAAATGATAGCACCATGTAATATTAAAAATAGCATCATACACAATTAAAAATAGCATAAAATATGGTTTTTACGGTTCTCACACCAGACATAGTTTTTATTTGAACCAGCCCCTATATATATATATATATAAAGGTTTGATTATTTTTTAAATAGTAACTGTTTCCCGTAAAAAAAAATTGTTTACTAAATTTAGAAATTGTTTAAATATTTTATGGTATGTTTTAAGCGTACAATTTAGGTAATTGCGGCTAATTTATTAAGGTAATATTAATCAAATAAAAAGTTACTTTTTTAAATCTATTAATTACACAAAGAATGTGATTTCTGCTGATTTTCAAAGATACAATTTAGGTAATTGCGGTTGATTTTTTATGGTAATACTAATCACATATGTCAGTCTCTAATATCTCGAGATACATATTTCCTAAAACACTAACTTTAAGAACAAAGTATATCATTTTAATTCGCGTAATCATATATTTAAAGAAAACTAATAAATATCAACAATTAAAAGAAAATAAACTTTTAAGCTATTTAATTTATGTAATCTCTAGGCCTTTAAGCAGTGGATGATGTTGCTTATCTTGTCTTTTTTAGTTTCCTTGTTGAGGTTCTAGGCCGCTTTGGGCGTGTCCTTTCAGTTTTCATTTTAGGATTTGGCTTGTAACATTCAAACTTGGTTCGCTTTGAGTTTTATAATATCTCTGACGTTTCGTTTAAAAAAAATTATGTAATCTTTTAAATTATGTAAATAAAATAAACTTTAACAATTGTGTTTTTTTATATAAAATAATTATGAATTAAATATATATCATAATTTTTTTCTAAATTGTTTATTTATTATAATTCGTTTAACAATAAAAATACAACTGACCATAAAGGAAAAAGTAACTAATAAATATCCATAACAAAAAAAAATATTAAATTTATTTAATTGCGTATAAAGTGATATCAGTATTCGATATCTATACCTATGTAATCAATTCTGAAGATTACTTCGATCTTTTGCTTTAAAAATGCGTAGAATGCAATCAATACAATTTGTATGAAAGTTCTGAAAATAAGGAAATGAAATTTAAATAAAAAATTATCGACTGAAATGGATATTTATTATATATAGATACCTAACTAATACAAAAACATAACACAATAATATCCGAATTTATATTTTACGTGTGTCTCGAGATATTTAAAATAACCAAGTTGTATATAAAGATTTATTTTCCAAATATGTGATAGATACCAATTTACAAATAAAAAATGTGTGTTGAGATATTACTTTGCAATATACAAAAAATTATATTTCCAAATAAATCAGTTGTTTGCCAAAAAAGCATAAAGAAACGTGTTAATATACCTTTGAATAGACAAAAAATTTATTAACAAATAAATAAGTTTTTTTCCCATATATTTTTAGAATTTAATTCAATTAAGCCTTTTACTAACTCTATAAATTAATATATAAGTCGTGTAATAACTCATATGCTCAATATTATTTTTTAATTTTGATTTTAGACAATTACAATACTTTCAACATGAAGTGCAAATTCAGTTTGCCAAAGCAAGTTTCAAGAACCAATAAACCATGTTTAATGTTGCGGGTAATTCGAATAATTGCTCGCACTGAATACAAAAACGACATGGAAATCCTATTTCATGACGAGGAGGTGGGTTTCATTTATTTTCATTGAAATTCATGTTTTGGTATAGATAATAATACTAATACTAATATTTACATTAATATTCAAAGTTTATTTTACTCATGTGCTTGAATGTAAGGTACGATATTGGTTGTCATAAAGCTCTCCACTCACGTGCTTGAATGAAAAGTATTGACTGAATCTAATGCAAGAGATAAGGTATTGATACCTCGGATGACTAACAACTTCCTACTTTATAGTATTTTTAAAATTTCAACGGATGCAATTTCTTCTAATAGTTTATTATGTCATGACAATTAACAAAAGTCAAGTTCAATTTTTATCAAACGTTGGCATGTTTTTTAAGAAGTCGGTATTCAGTTGGCATGTTTTTTAAGAAGTCGGTATTCAGTCACAGTTGTATGTAGCTGCTTCCAGTGTTACTAATCGAAAGAGCTTAGAAATATTAGTTTACGGGGTGGTGGTGTGCCTACAAGGCAAAAAATATTGTCTAAAATGAGGTTCTTAATAATATATAATAGTATTCTTTATTCTGTTTATTTAATTTTTTTTATTCACGAATATTATAATAAGATGGATAAATAACCTTAAAACAGTACCTGCACTAATAGATATACAAACAAGGTGTATGATATAAAGCTCATTAAGCCCAAGAAAACTCACCCTTAGTCATTGATTACTTCTGGGATTGTTGACATTAAAATTGAATATATTCCTTTTGCGATTCCTTTCATTCTATAAATTATACTGTTTAAACTAGGTTTTAGTCATTCAAGGGTGAAAGATGAAAAATAGACACACACACACACAAAAATAAAATAAGATAAAATAATGTTTACCATGCAAAGAAAACTATGCCACAATATAAAATCCAACATAATCCATTAAAAGCCCATATATCCTCCAACTATTTATTCAAATAATTATTTATATCATATTATTGCCCCAGGCAGCATGGCATTGGAGCAAACATAGTTTCAGATAACATTTTTTTACTGCAGTAACCAAAAATGGCAGAGCAAATCAGCTCAAACGCAGCTAGTCTCTTTCGAGACTTCTTCAAGAAAATGAAAAATCATTTACGGTGGCCTGATGAGGCCATGAGGATGCCAACAGCAACTATAAACATCAACAACATACTCACGAGAAGTATATACGTTCTTCTAGACGACCTTCTGTACTCACCAAACAATAATATGCCCCAGAATGTACTCACAAGTGGCAGTGCCTGTGAAAAAATCAACCAATTGAACATGATTTTAATCTAAATGAATTTATCGCCAAAATATAGAAGTTCTGAAATCTAGAAAATATTCAGCTTTTATAATTACAAACAGCAGCTTACAATTGAAAACACCAAAGATTGATTTTTATTAGTAGAAAATTGGCCCAATTTCCCTATAGAATCAATGTGGGACAACTCACATGTGATACTCCAACATTATACGTATTATTCACATAGATTTTTAAATATATGATAAAAATTTACCAAAATAATTATTTTATGGAACTACATTGCATTGAAATCAAATTAAAGAATAAAAAATTTTAAAATCACACTTATTTTGAAAAAGATATAATATAATTTATTATTAGTTATATGCAACGTACGAGTTGTGTACTAATTTTAAATAGACACGTTTTATGTAATTTTGTACAATTTAAATTTTATATAGCATTTTAAATAATTAATATATGTAAATTGTATTATATATTTTGATTCTATATTTTGCATAAACTAACCTGAACAGCATCTGCTGCAGCATATCCAGCAGCCTGGCCTCCCATGAACTGAAGCCCATTACCAAACCCACAGAGAAGCCCAGCTAAAAGGGCCCATCCCCGACCATTCCAGTCTGATATATAAGCGGTGATGGAGGACTTGGGCAGGTCCAAAATGGGACGGTAAAGAAAGCTGATGTTGAGAATGATGGCAATCACAAAGCACGAAACCGAGAAATAGAAAAATGCAGCATACACGCTCAAATGTGGGACACCGTTCTTTAAGGTATTCCATTGGTCATTAGTGGCCAAATTGAAGGCCGGAGAGAATAGAGAAAAGCATATTCCGGCAAAGAATGTTATCCCCAACCCAATAAAAGTGCTCTTCCCAAAAACCTGTAAAGATAATTTTCAGAATATGGAAAAAGAGTTTGCGATAATAGTAAGAATAATAATAACCAACATATTTTTTTTTAAACTACAAATTCGAGAGGGAACTGTATGTTTTTTTTTTTTTTAATAATAATTATCCCCCAAAACATTTGGCAAAAGCAGGTAATAAGAACAACATGGGAATCAAGATGCTGTCATATGAAGCATTGGTAAAAACTCCTCTTTGTCATAAGAGAGGATTACCTTAATTGCCCTTTTATTCTCAAGCTCGACGAGAAAATCTGCTGTTCCGAATTTCGCCTTGTCCTTTATGGCAACCGCTTTCTCCACATCTGCTAGCGACAAACAAAAAGCAGGTCGTTTTTTGTAATAGCAAAATAAGAAACACGCAAAGACATGTACAAATAATATTTTTCTTACCTTTGTTTGCATAGTGTCCTTGGGAGGTATGAGCACCCTTTTCCCTGTATCAATGCAATTAATTGAAATTTAAATCTAAATTCTAGAACCAAAACAATAATTTTGGATATAAATGATTTTAAATGGAAAATAATGTACATCGTCTCATCTTTTCCTGTGAGCTTAGCTTTATTATCTGCAGCATTGGATGAATGAACAGCAGAGCCTAAACAAACAGCAATCAAAAAGCATGCGACACCGGGGAAAAGAATCTCGGCCTTGTTGATTTTGTCGTCCAAGAAATAATTCATAATTGTCCCTGAATTAGCAAAAAACAAGGCAACTCATGTACACAACTCAAATCAAGAAAACTCAAACAAAGACAAAGTGAAATCAAGAAATTTATAATAGTATAGAGCTAATAGTATAGAGTTAAACTTTACCTATCACGACAGTTATGCTACATGTGATGACCTCTGTCACTGACAAGCCAACAAAAGCCCAAGCATACTGAGTTGATAAATTCCCAAGGCTTAGAACAATACCCCCAACCATCGCGAAAATCACACTCGGCCAGTTATCCTGCATTCATTTTTTTTTTTTTTTACACATATGCACAAATTTAGCTTCATGAGTAAATGTGATTGTTCCTAGGCTTCCAGCTCGAAAAGAAGTCAATTTTTTTGTTCTGTCTTCTGGTTTGAATTTCACAAACAGCACACTTTCCACAATCAATTTAGTGAATGATTTTTCTAACAACTTATTCAAGCTTTCAACAGATGAATCAAATCCAAAAGCCAAAATGTGTTCTCACCTGAGACAGCTGATTAATGAAATTTGGCTTCTCATTCGAGTTTTTGCCAATCTCGCCAAATGTGAAGGCAATGATTACAGCAGCCAATAGATTTGTGATGGTGTAATCGAGGTAAGTGTGTTGAGGCATTCGGCCTCGCCTTTCTAAGAGCGTAAGAAGGGCAGGCCAAGTGCCCAGGAAAAGCAAAGAAAATATCATACATGCTATTGCACCTTCTTTACTCTCAATCACCAACATTTTCAATCACTGCAAAAGATTGTTTCGGGTGCGTTAATGCCGAATTTGTCCTGTAAATTGGGAAATTTTGTCAGATGGTGAAAAAAAACTGAAGGCTGATTTGCAATAACAACTGCTGTGTAATAATATTTGGGAGTAATCAGAAAATCTGCCAGTCTAATTACAGATAGGGCAAAATAGCTTATGGCAACCTAGTTTAGATTGCTATGTGCGAATGAAAAATAAATAACAACAAAAAAAAAGAAAAAAAAAAACAATGTTTAGAGTGCAATTATCTTTTTCCATGTTCTCTCTTCTTACAGAATCATCTGCCAGAACAACTGTAAAATCATTACATAACAAAATTGAAAGATTCAGAAGGGAACAATCAGGTAATATGAATCGCAGCTAATTGGAAGAAAAAAGGGATAAAAAGAAAAAAAGCCAGACTTCTGAACCCAATTTACAAAGTTTAAATTAGCAATTCAAGATAAATTTGCAAGTTTACAAAGTCAGGCTTATCCTCATATCATCTGAACCCAATTTACAGAGAGACCCAAAAAAGCCTGATGACTACAAACAACAGGTGAAAAAGTACCAGAAAAACTACACAGCTTCGAACATTCTGTCATGATGGATGAATAATCTCAAATTTTTTTTTTTTTAAAAAAAAAGTGTTATTGGATTGCTGGATTTCTGTAATGCAATCCAAGTAAATAAAAAGGGGGAAACAAAGAACCATAAATCCCTGTTTCAGTAAAAAAGGATAGTAATATCTACCTATGAGATTTAAAATCGGAACTTAAGAACAGCTTTAATTCCCCACTTAGCACAATCAAAGAAATTTCTTCTCCAAAGGCTAAATCAAATTCTGTCAATCTGCAATGAAAAATTGAAGAAAATTGGTTTAAGAAAAGGACGCAGATATGATTGATTTTATGCAGCATTGACTAAAAACATGCATATAAAACGGTGTGGAAAACTCACGTATTTATACGTATATATTTTAGGCAACTGAACCGAGATCATACCAAGACTGTGAAATCCTCACCGAAATCTTTCACTCCAAAACTTATCGAAACTGCGAGTGTGACTTTCCCCACAATTGATACGTATTCCTGGTTCTTTCTTGTGGAAAACTCGCGTATTTATACGAATATATATATATATTTGACCACAATTGATAGTTTAGTGACCAATTTGTTTTATTTATTAGTTTTAAAAATTGCAGCTATTAGGGAAGAAGAATAAACAGAAAAAGAATCATAATCCTAGTAGTAGTTTGAAAGGCGTGGTGATATGGGATTCTCTCATCAGATTCCTGAAATCAGCAAATAACTCTGTGATGACGTTCACATTATGTCAAACTGTTTAGATTTTTTTTTTTTTTTTTTTTTNTTAATGATATTGAGCAATTTGTGATAATATAAAATATGGCCACATTCTAGTGAAAGTTGCTAATATTTGAATCACAAAAATCAATAAAGACTATGGGATTTTCAGTTAATTTAGAAGATCGAGGAAGTGTTTTTCTATTTTAGTTATGTCCTTTAAAATCTTACGGGGTGTATTCATTTAATTTAAATTAGTATGACACCCGTGTATTATATGGGTTGTTTGAAAAAATATATATATAAAATAATAGAAAAAAACACATGTTGTTGTATAACTATTTCAACTCTTTAAAATATATTAGAAAGATCATGTAATATTCTATAACTATTTCAATATATTTTTATAGATATTCTAAAAAGATTTAAATAATTTATTTACATGGTGTTCATCAAAATTTATTTTATTTTTATTTAAACTCTTTAAAATATATTATAAAGATCATGTAATATTCTATAACTATTTCAATGTATTAAGCAAAAAATCATATTTAACGGCATATAAGATAAGAATCTATTTATTTTGATATAATATGCAAGTGGTGTCCAATTTATTTTTTGCAAAATTATAGTATTTTTTTTAATTTAAACTATATAAAAAAGTTATGTCTAAAAAATCTTATTTATTTTTTATTTTGGTATTTCGTGAATTCCGTATAAATTATTATTATAATATTAAGCAAAAAAAATCTTATTTACACAATAAGAATCCTATTTATTTTAGAGTTGAAGAGGATCGGATTAAGCAAAATTCCTATTTATTAAGTATTTATTTTAAACAATTAAGAAATGTATTCGAACCAAAACCCTATTTATTTTAGAGTTAAAGGGGATCGGATTAAGCAAAAATCCTATTTATTAAGTATTTATTTTAAACAATTAGGGAATATATCCGAACCAAAACCCGAAGCATATAATGTTGCCAAGTAAGCTTCCGAAGCGTGCGAGACAGCCATTTAGGCTCAAACACGTTTTCAAATTATATTAAGAGGGGATATCTTAAAGTCATTTTGAGATTTTCAAAAAAAAATTTGTGTATCTGATGTCCGCATTTTAAAACTTTTTAAGAGATTTTTTTTATTTTATAAAATTTATGTATTTAATTTATTCATCACTGTTATTTATTCTGTAAATTTTAAGATTTATTTAAATTTGAAAGGCAACTTGCATGTATCAAAATCATACATCACCTCTACAGTTATTTTAGTAANAAAAAAAAAAAAAAATGTTAAACCTCATAAGAAATTTGTTTTCAATTTCACCAAATGAATGCACCTCCTGAGTAGATGAGAGATGCAAGATTTTGAATATATATTTTTATTTAAAATCTAAATAATTCTTATTGCAAATCATAAATTAAAAAAAAATGTATATATATTTTTTAAAAATTTAAATAAATATCTTCATACTTTTAAAATCTTTAAAAATTAAACATAATACACAAAACTAAAATCTCGAATAATTTTTTAAGAAATCTAAAAAAATGCAACCTCACTTATATTTTGAGAGATGGTTGGGCTAGTGTCCCGTGCCCACTCTCTTATAGCGTACCATAATGTGTAGGTGCATTTTCCCTTTTGGATGGTTACTCCTCTGTCAGACCACGACTCTATCATTAAACTAGTACAGTACCCGTGCGATGCACGGGATGATATTTTTCTAAACATTTATAAATATTAATGATTAAATTTAGTGAACTTGTTATATTTGTAACAAAAGTAAACACGTTGGGCGCATACGTTTATAAATATATAAATTATTGAAAACTTATTCGTACACAACGTTTTTCTTTTGATTTGGCGTCGAGTCATCGAGACATTAACTTAAACAATTCATGGGACATTAAATTTAATGCACTTTGTAGTTATGTAACTTCTGTAAATTAGAGAAAAACAAATTAAAAACTTCATAAATTAGTAAACACTTCTTTGTACACAACATTTTGGGTCTGATTTGGCGACACGCCATCGTCATTACAGACTAATATTTTCAATCCACTTGGTACAGAACATGCTTTGTACCGCTTAGACGACGAAGTCGTGATTGGTGGAGTAATAATTGTATTTTCCTTTTCATCGTCACTCAAAATATCTATGACAATGCTTTCCGATCCAATAATATTAGAATTCTTCGATCTTTTTTCACGAAAGGTAAGCTGACCTGTATATTTAAATAATACTTAAAATGACACATTAAAAAGTTATAAAATATTATTCATAATATATTGATTAATATATATAAACTGAATTATAAATGTAATACCATTTGTAATATCAAAGAAGGGCATAGGATTGGAAGAATTTGATGAACGTCCCGAACCAATAGTCAGCTGAAGTTTACGAATAGTTGATCCAGGACAAATATCAAAATTCATAGTCCCTAATCAAAATAAATAAATTGCAAGATTATTTCCAATTTATTTGTATAATCGATATTTTAAAATGTACATAATTAACTCACAACATTAATAAGAATACTAAAGATAACAAAATTGATCACATCATAACATAATTAATTCACAACATTAATAAGAATACTAAAATAACAACATTGATCACATCTAAACGACAAATATAAATCGTAAATTATTTATAATTCGATTTCTCAGGATATTTAACTATTGTGGATCAACACAATATTCAACATATATAAATTGTACAAAGTATCTAAAGTTGATTAAATATTGGGATAACTAATTAAAACACAAACTTATAGTTAAATACAAGCCCAATAAAACAAATAAAGCAAAACAATTAATTAAAAGTTTGGGCTGCAGATAAATTTAATTAAATAGGCTCGATTCATCAGCCCAATTTTTCTAAATTAGGCCTGTTATATAACCTTTTTTTTTTTAATGTCTATCAAAGGGCAAAATTATAGCACAATTCAACAGCCCAATAATAAAAGCGAATCGGACGGTCATTAGTGGTACACATGTAAGGATCGGACGGCCGTAAATTGTTAGGTAAGAGTATAAAAAGCACGGGCATTGTGTAGGGTTTCCATTTCATTCACCAAAAAGATCGGCGCTTTCTTCACCGCTTTTCTCTCTCATTTTTCGGGTGTATGTCTGATTTCGAAAAAAAAAATTGAACAAAGAGCCCACAATTTTTTATCATTTGGCTTCAAATACGGAAATTATAGTAGATCTAAGTATGATATATATAGATTTCGTGACGAACGATATGAATTTTTCGATCTTCTCACTTGTTATTTCTTACTATTTTCGTATTGATTATTACGAAAACAATCGGCGACAAAGAGAAGGTTTGTATAATTTTTTTGTTCATTTTATGTTCAATCGATTATAAATTCAATTCTTCGTGTATAGATCTATCATATATTATATTTTCCTTACCAGATCTGTGTAAGATTATAAAAATTTTACTATTTTTTGTACTGAGAATTCAATTTTTGTGATGTATCAGTGTAGTTTTGTTTGGCATGCAAATTATAATTAATTTCTAATTTTTTATCTGTATTTGAGCACATCGGCCGATTAGAAGATTAATTTGACGGCGAAATGGAAGGCCCAACACTCTCGATATGAGGTATTACATTAGTTAATTGTATACAAATCGAAGTTCTAATGTCTAATCTATAATCTTCTGGGCGTTAATGATTAACTTCGAACTCGAAATTTTTCTTACAATCTGTTGTTTAATCAAAAGGGGAAAACACAAATTGCGGAATTACAGAGGCCATCCGGTTTAAATCCAAGCTGTGGATAAAGAAATCCATCGGCGTCCAATAAAGGTTCGTATATATTTGACATGCGTTCAATTATTTAGATCTGTGTAACCTTATAGTTATTTCTAATTTTGACTCATACATGCGTGAACTTCTTTCAAATTTACCATAAATCTCATTTTGTTATCTGTGTAAGCTTGTAAGTAGTTCACTAATTCGAACGGAGACTTTGTTTTGTTTTACAAAAAAAATGTCAATGTGTGTTTTACATTTGTATTTTTATTTTGTGTATTAGTTTGAATATGTCCGGTCACATTAGAAGATATATTTCACGGCCATATGGAAAGCAAAGCTGAGCAACAAAAACTGCAACAGGATGAGCAATAAAATCGACGATTACCCGAAGGTTCGTAATTTTCGAATTCAGATTTTATAATCGACAATAAATCTAATTTCTATTGTCTATATTTATTTCATAATATACTGTACTTATTTATTAAGTTCGAATTCCAATAATTCTTACAATATCATGTTAACTGCAAGGGCTAAAAAAAAATTACGGAGTTAGATGGGCTGTCGGTCCAATTACAACCGTGAATAGAAAAGAAATGAATCCGAGTCTACTAAGGTTCGTCCAGTTTTTAAGTGAAGTTTATTTATTAAAAATAATAGTAAATTTGTTAACATACAGTTCACAATGGTTTAATGTACAGAACGCAAACATTGGAGAAAATATATAGCAGACCAACTATGAAACTGCAGTTATACATACAAAAAAGGGGTAAACTTCATATTTTTAGTACATTTTCATCTACATTAATAAAATAAATACAAAACATATATAAAAATATTAATGATTTTAAGTTTGAATATTTATTTATATTTATATTTCTGTACAAAATGCATGTACACAATAAGGAGAATAATCAAATAGAGGCATGAACACAGAAAACAGTACACAAACTGTGTGATGACACTGGTAAATGCAATCAGGTAAGTTATCCAAACTGCTATGAATAAATATAGCTGCACTATGATCTTAAGAAATAAAACCGAGCAGTCCAACAATGAAACCAACATAAACACTTTATTTATTTACCTTGCAATATAGTACCTTCATCGGTTTTTTTGCTCCTCTTGTTAAATCCCTTATGTGATGAAGTGCTCGTATTGGATTTTATCAAAGATTCTAGCATTTTTTACATGCATAAATAAGAATTAGCAATATATGAATAAAAACATTTCAAGTATAAGTGTTATAATTACCAACTGAAGCATGAATGATGGCATTGTTTCTTCTAATTCGTTTGTTGAATTCTTTATCTGCTTCAAAAAATGTATTGATTTTTTTTCTGACTGCATCTCTATCCATTGAAGAGACTTCTATTCATATATAGATACATTAAAAAAAATTGGATTAATATTGCAAAAAACATCAACATTACATATTGATTGGATAAATATAATAAAAAAAGTATTTGTCAATTGTATGATAAAGAAATTACCTTGGTTTCTGTCCATGTTTTTAAACTTGTTGCGGGGTTGCTTGGATTGATTGTTCATTGAATTGTTTGGTATTGATTTTTCCGATTCCATGGAGCCTTGTATTGTATATACCTGTCCGTCCAATACTTGTTTCGCCTTTGAAGAGTTTATGCGAAGTTAAACTCACACAGTTATCAATTGGAGTTTTCCTTCTTTATACGCAGAGCATATCTGCGCCACCATGAATTTTATTGTATAATAAGATTTGACAAAAAGACATGAGAAATTTATCAATGAGAGTCGTTTATTTAATAGAGAGAATATAGGATAGTTAGTTATATATGGGCATCATAATCAGTTTATAGAGTAGAGAATATAGGCAATCGCGATAAATGATACACAAGATAACTCTAAATCTTAGATAAATTTAGACTACTAAGATTTGGTAAATCTCCGAGTATAAAACACGGAATAAACGGGAAACAATCATTCTTCGATTTATTTACTTAAAGGAATAAGTAAATTGGATTTACGAAAAAATCAATCTAGATTTATTCTACATAGTTATCTTAATCTTTACTTATTTATCTCAATATATTTGGGGATAAAATCGGTTATTTATTCAACATAGTTATCTCAACTATTACTTAATTATCTCAATCCACAGGATCTAAATTTTTTTTACAAAATATCTAAATTATGGATAAATTCGTATCTTGCCATAGTTATCTAAGTTAAATGTCCGAATTTTAGAATGTTTGAATATAATAATTTAATTTTAATTGCCTTCAAATTCAACTAATTGGAATTATACGATTGTACACGATTGTGTAATTTATTGACTATAACAATTGTTTAATGTACTTACTATGTAGTATGATTTGATACTAAAATATTTATTGTTTCGAATCCAAACGAATTAGGTCTCTTTGGATCGTGTAGATTCACAAATCTTTATTCCATGCCCCGTTTTATGGACAACTTTCACATATACACGTTTTACAAAAATAAAGATTTGGGTTTAATGTTTAATTAAAAAGGAAATAGATATTTTTGAGATCTCTAACCGAGGAGATAAATATAAAACTACGTTTTTTGTGTTTGATTTAAAATGGGTGTACAATTTTTATGAAATCTGTGATGCCAATTTATTATATTCATTTTATTTCATTATTCAGAATTTTTTTTAATATCTTAATACAAATATGTCGAAAATAAAATGTAGTAAAATATATATTACAATTACTAATATATAGACATAATCGATGTATTATTAAATTTCGGACTGTAAAAAAATAATTAATGGGAAATTAATTAAGAAAAATAATTTTCGTAGTTATGTATTTTTGATATAACATAAAAAAATATTACCTCTTCATCATGAAACAGGATATGGAAACAGTTCAAGCTCTCATTATCATGATGCGTTTCAATAAGTCGGATTACCCTCAGACGCAAAATTGGTTTGTTGGACTTGGTCACGGAGTTGATTGAAGCAAAGAATGGCGGCATTTTTCTCTGTGTATATTGAAATTCGTTTGTATTATTTTCTCTGCAATGTTGTGAAGGAAGTGATAAAGAAAAGTGGCATTTTAACAATCTTTTATACACGATAGATCTGCACAACAAACTTATCACGTAAAATATGGAAATCTTTTGTTAAGATAATAATCTTTAAATTTTTTAAGATGAAAAAACACTGATTTTGTTAAAGATATTAAATTGATTTGGATTAAATTGTAACAACCGCCCCTTATTAGGAATTATAGTTGATAATTGTACGTAAATTATGGAATCAAAATTTCGGATCTTTGGGTTTTTAAATATGGAATCATAATTTTAAATTGATTGGTTTCTAGGATGCTTAAATTAAGGAGTAACAAATGGAGGCCAACAGATTTTACACGCCTAAAATAAAAAAATAAAATCAAAAATCATTTTTTAAATTGGTTACCATATTAAGTAAGTCAAATAGGTTGACTGCAAGTTTTTTAAAACTTTCCCAAAAGGATTTATTGACCTCTCTTTTTCAATATATATAGATTTTGGCCAAAATACAATTTTTCATCTCGTCATTGACCACTTTCAAACTAAGTCCAATAATTTGACAATTTAATCAATTTCGGTCCCTTTTTTTCACACTCTGGATAAAAAAGTGACGTGACATGACGTGGAGTGTCGTGACGGCTGCATGTGTATTTAATTTTCAAATTTGCAAAAGACTTCAACCAATGATAACTTGCCACGTAAGCAACAAGAATTGTACTGCTCAGTCTTCACGCGAAAACTAGAAACTGACGCATCTTCTTTCTGAAATTTCGTCGATGATATTGTTGAATAACCGCCGCCCATTTGTTTGCAATTTCGGTTGTGGCGTCTGCTCCAACCTGGTGTTCTCCACCAGGCGCAATAAACAAAACTCGGCCAGCTTACGCAAATCCTGACCACAACCCGCGTCCGACAAACTTCAGTACAGGCATCACAGCAGTTCACGTTCAGCGCCTATCTCGGTCGCACGATGTCGTCGTTGGTCGTCTTTACCAATCCACAAAACGTTTTGGCCATTGTCCTGGGTTATCCCTCTTGTCGGAAGTTACCCAACGTCGAGCGCACAACTTCAGCCGGAACTTCATGTTCGTCCGACCATAGCTCGCCCGGCCCAGGCCAAACTCTGGAAGCCCGCGCATCCAACCGCCATAAACGGACAATCATCGCCGTCCAACGTCGGACCTTAGACGCAACGCACAGACTGGAGCCAAGCCTTCGTCAGGGCACACTCTCGTTCAAAGAAGACTTGTTCGGCTCGCGCAACACATCGTCTGTCTGTTGCTCCTTCCGATAGCCTGGTTGCCAAGGACATCTCTAGTCGCAGTCGCTGGGTGTCGCTCTGAAAGCACGTTCCGCCTGCTGAGGGTGGTCAAAGATGGAGCAGAGGTAAAGCTCGAAAAGACACTAGCCGGAGATAGAGTCGCGAGAAATGATGGGGGGCTCGAGCAGGCAGGGCCCATCCTTGTCGTACGTGATTAGGTTGCACTCGAACTCCAGTGGGCGCTAGCAGCAGATGGAGGCTACGTCGTTGGTGGGAAGGGGGAATGGCTGGAGACGTTCGTGTTGAGGTTCTATTAGAAACATCGAATCATGCAAGTCACGGTTCTAGTCTACAAATTAAAGCCTAAAAGTACTAAAGTTAAGATTTTACACTTACGACTTAAACCTTGCAGGCTCTGTACAAACTTATACGATCTACGGGGCCGGAGAAATGATTTTGAATGATCTTCTCGTCTCTTCCTTCACGCCTCGTGTCGCGGTTCATTTGTTGTCGTGAACGTGTGTGGATCGCAGGGGATGCTCGCGTCTCGGTTGCTTTGCGTGTGTTATAGGTTCACGGTCGGTGCGTGCTCTGTGCGGTGCTTGTTGCGTTGTGCATCACTGCCTGCGGGTCCTCGCGATTAGGTACAGCTGGGCACTATGACTGTGGTGCTCAGTTGCTGTGTGGTGCGTGCGTCACAGGGAATGGCGAGCAAGGAATCAGTATGACATGGTTGTGCATGGTATACAGCGGAAATCTCAGGGTTGTCTCGGTTGACCTCGGGACTTCTATTGTATTACCTTACACAACTTTGCTTATCTTGGTGGTCGACGGAAAAAAGCTCTCTCGATTGAGATTCTAGAGAAACACGTGCGGTATGCTGCAATACCAATTACAGGCTACAACAGGAATCCTAAGGAGGTGTCGAATACGGGCTTCCCAAGTATGGGTCTAACTGTGGGCCAAGCCCACTCTGCTCATACTTGAACGATACTTCAGTCAACTAAAGAAATATCGTTGCACTCCCCATTTGACTCCCAAAATATTTGAAGCTTCAATAATAATTACTTGATTTATCTTCCTGTATTTAAGATATAATGTTCGTCAATTAAGTTAATTACTGATAATATAATTAATTTACTTCTTGTGCCGAGACTAGTACCACTCAATTCTTTATTATTATGTCAGAACTTAATCCACCTGCAGGGTTTAACATAATAATATTTCTTGAGCTCATCTCGGGGCTATCATTAGACTATCGCACACGGTGACCGTAAGTATTCGAACAACAAAGCATGCACACTGCATTACTACCCAAAATATATCAGACTATTGACTCAACAAAATGAGAGCAGCTACTGTATGCACGATCTTGTTTATATCTTGCGGGTTGGGAACACACATTAATTATATGAGGTCTAGTTTGTTTACTCGATCAATATAATACAAACTTATCCTCTGTGGGATCTGTTCGATACACAAAGTGTACTAGTGCAACCGATCAGTCAAGACAGATTGTACAGTCAACACTACAACCATTCACGATGGGTCATTCATCTTCATCTACGCTATGAACCTTATTATTTATGTTATATAAGTAAACGACAATATGATCTTTTGTTCGCCCACAATGAATCATGATTGTCTTAGTGTAAAATATCAGAACGTAAAATGGTTTAATTAAACATGATTCTCATTCAACAGAAAGATAGTGTTTATGACACAAAAGGCCAAGCTTTAAGTATACACAGTAATAGTTAGGAAGGGGCTGACGTGGAGGTGGGAGTTCGTAGCAGGCAGAGGACTGAAGATGGTGGACGTCGTTGGGTGCCTAGCATCATGAGGAGTTCGGAGGTGTCATCAAGTAAAATTATTTTAATACTATTTTGGTTGACGATTGTTATTTTCAATATAAATAATAATGTAATTATTGAAGAATTGGTAAAAAACAAAATAAAATACAAACTTGTATTATTATTTATTAGAATCTTTTATCATAATTTTGTATTCCAATGCGTGAGTCCATTCTCGTGCGCCTTCAACTCTTCGACGTGAGGGATGTGGCCGCTAGGTTGCATTCAACATTGGCCTTTGGGCGTTCTGCGGTCCGCCTGTTCGCCAATTAGTCGGTCCGTCGGGCGCTCGGTTGTGTGCTGCTATGAGAGGCCCCTCCTTGGGTCCTATTTTCGAGAACTATAATGTATTCGTGATGACTCCTCCTCTACTGCCCGATGCTGAAGTCCTATGGAGCCCAGATCTGGATCGAGAATAGCCTCCTCGTCAGATCTATCTAGGCGGTTCGTCCACAGTTTTTGGGTATGGATTCTAGATTGTAATTCTGTTGTGACTTTTGTTGCGGTGTGGGTCTCGAGTGTCGGTTCGGGTGGTCGTTTAGCTCGCCTGCCAGATTTAGAGGAGGTTTTACTCTATTTGTTTATTAGGTGTTTTGTTTTTCTTTTGTCTTTCTCCGTTTGTGTTTTGTTAAGTCCAACGGCGTCTGGCGTCTAGTCTCCTTCATGGAGCAGTGTTTTGTGACCCGGTCCGGCCCGGCGGGTTGACTTGGGACCCGGTCGACCCGGAGCCGGAACCGATCCGGATGGGGTATTTGGACCGGGCAACAAAGGACCCGGTCAAAACCCAGTCAACTCGGCCTTGACCCGGGAAATTGACCCGGCTGGGTTAACCCGGTTGACCCGGTCTATATATATATATATATAGTTTTTTAAAAATAAAACTATGTATATATGTTTATATGGTAAATATTTATCATGAGATACATATTATTAACACTTTAATGTACAAATTTTATTCACAAAACATTTAATTTTGTTACTTTTATGTATATTTATATGACAAAAATACTTTATATATAATTTTAAAAATTTTAAAATTAATTATCTGGTTCAGCAATTGACCCGGTGATCCGACGGTTGAACCAGATAATTAATTATCTGGTTCAGCAAGTGACCCGGTGACCCTAGGACCTGCCCGGGTCGATTACCAGGCCGGGCTTAAAAACTATGTCATGGAGTGATAGTCCCCTTCATGGAGTTGGTTTTGTTGTTTCTTGTTATCTACTTGATGGTATTTGTACCCCGCTTGAACACATATGTATTTGAAAGGGGTTGATCCAAACTTTGTTATGATTTCCTTAGTGTCAATTGACACATGGATTGCACTTTATTGAGTTTCACATTATTAATATATTTGTCGTTTGAAGGAAAAAAACAACACTGTATATTATAAGTTATTGTCTTACGAAGGATAGTTAAAACAAAATTGAGCTCTAGTTTTACCTAGAACCTTTGTTGGGGTGTGTGTGGGTGTNGCCTCAGCTCCTCTTCGTGGATTCGAGTAAATTCAACATCATACAATCATTAAGCTAATATTTGCTTAATTCAACATCATACAATCTTTAAGCTAATATTTGAACTTCCAATTTTTATGGATGTGATATATAGCAAATACATTTTAGATAAGATCTGAAATAATCACCTACCATCACGTTCTATTTCTTTCTTGTCCATACAAATTTGTGCAGTTGTCGCTTGCTGAAACATGCTTCTGTAAATATAATATAAATGTTTCCGCCTCGCACTCATCTCATTGCGGAATGGTCTCGCATCACATGAGGCACAATCTCCTCCACTTGAAAAGTATGCTAGATGACTTAACCTGGTTGTACAACAGCTTTTGATAGAAAATTATATTATTTTATTCTGAAAGCATATTAGTTTTCTGTTAACAGCACTAATAAGTAGTAAGTTTATGTAGATATAATTAGACGAAGTCCATATGAATGATCAAGAGATTGCTGACTTCTTGGTCAGAAGAATACATACTGAAAGTAGAGTGAAAAAATTTTCAACATGATAAAGAAACAGGCACCATATGCAGTCTAACTAGTAACCACTAACCAGACACAAAATGCAAAGGGCCATCGGTTTTCGGGCTAAGGGCAAGTCACTGGGTTCTTACTAAGTATAATAGGCATTTTACATTTCTGATTTCTCCTCTCTGACATCTTCTTGTAAGAAGTTACCCAGAAGCCTTTGATTGAGAACCATGTTGGGTACCTGTATAATACAATTTATCAACCAAAAGTATAGAGAGAGACATTAAGGGGGGTTCGGGGGAGGGGTCATGGAGAATTACCTTGTTGCCGAAATATATTTTGGTATTGTTGGCAATAGCTTCAATGAATTTGAGTTCCAAATATTGAGGAGTAAGCTTCAACTTGTTTGCTTCGGCTTCTTTGATAGTGCTATGAATCCATCATAGATAAACATAAGCTCATTTCCAAGATTTTGTCCATTTGAAGATATAACACAAGTAATGAAGAGGGTTGTTAAAGAGTTATCAAAAGAAGCAAATTAACCGAGCATTTTATTTGTGGAAAACGTTTCATATTTCTCTGTGCTTGCATATTGTCCAAACATCTCCTACACTCACAAATAATATACCCCCATACCCGAAGTGATTAAACAAAACGAATTTGCACCTCATTTGGTAATCATCTTTGTTAATTTGTATGCCAAAATTTTCAATTTCTTTTTCTAGTAACAGATAAATATTTACTCCATAATTTCGTAAAAAGAGAGACAAAATGGCTTAAACTTGAAAAAGGTCTTTTGGTCTGTCAAATAAATATTACTCCCTCTTTTTTTAGTAAGTGTCGTTTTGAGAAGTTGCACGAATCTTTTTTTTTTTGCCAATAATAACCCTCGTTAACGAGTATAGAGATGGATGTTTTGAGAAAAAATGAAGAGTGAATATGAAAAGATGTAGTGTATTTATTAGCTAGATGAGGGTAATAATGGAAAAATATGTACAAAAGATCCAAAACGTCATTTATTTGGTTAATTGTTGATAAAGCCAAAATGAGATTTAAAAAAAAAAAAAGGAGGTAGTAGTACATTAATTATTTGTTCTAAACCAATTTCAAGATTTATATTTTCACCTTTACCATCTACAACTTCTTACTCGCCAGTTGCATTAGTCTATGGCTCTACCTTCCAAGATTCAGTACTTAATTTGACATATTAGTACAAGTTTTAATTGCATGCATCACTAGACAAATATCCAATGTTGATGAAAACAAAGCAAAGAGGTTTACCGGTAATAGTTGGCGTCAGCCAAACTCTTTTCACGAGCCAAGTACATCGCATTAGAAATTTCTTCCTGCCTCCTCAAACTGTCTTTCTCCATTAGCTTTTGTTCCATCTGAATCTTACTAACATGAGCATTCTTTTCAGCCTCACTAACAGCAATTTTTTTTTGAGTCTCAGCTTCCTTCTCAGAAACTCTCTGTTTCTCCATGGCAATCAATACCTGTAATATATTTATTTCAGTTCCCGATATCAGTGAATAACCTAAAATAGTGATCTCATTAACCTGGCTTTCTCATCAGATTAAGGAGGACAAAACGGGGAGGGAGGGAGAGGGAGAGAGAGAGAGAGGGAGAGAGGGAGAGAGAGAGAGAGAGACCAAGTCTATGATTTTGTGTAGAACCAAATAAAAAAATGCTTTCAAAATTAAAAGATCAAATATATAGAGGATTCTGTTCACAATGAGCCAACCATTTCAGATAAAAAATCTCCTACTACTTCATGCTAATCGATCTGATTAAAGGCTAATGGATGGAACGTCATATTTAACCTTATTATCCATATTATTCAATAGAGAATGATAGTTGACAGATCAAGATCTAGGTTTTGGACAACGAGTGTGAAGAATAACAAATATATGTAAGTTCAAATGAATGCCCTAAAGCCCCAATGTAAGAACATAAAGAAAGCTTTACCTTGGTGCGCTCTTCTTCCATCTGCTCAAAATTCCGCCTTATACTATCAGGAATTTTAGGCTTCGTCACACGCACACTTATAATTTCAATACCAGGAGCATAACGTGTGCAGTCTGCCTGAAGGGCATCTTTCATTTTATCATCAATCTGAAATTTTTTGAACGATTTGAGTATTAAATTGTGAATACTTAAGACGTAGTCATTTGACTCGGCTTACAAAAGGTCATGCAACCTAACAGTAACACAAAAGGAATCTGCAACAATATGAATTTCAAGTAGACCAGTAAAGTAACAGTGCAAACCTTGAATCCTGAGTATTTACCTGATCGAACATATCAATGTAAACTTGTTGAAGGGAATGAGCACTACAGAACTGATTAATCTCGTGATGGATTTTGTCATATATCCACGTGTGGTCATACTGAACGCCGTAGTTGAGTAATGTGTCGTACACATAGTCCTTGCGAAGGCGATTAACAACCTGAAGGCATTCAAATAAGTATGCATCTACTGACAAGTGTAGATTTTTCCCTAACTTGAAATGAAAAGAGATATTACTTCTATTTTCTCAAAGCTAATCATTACACCTCCTTTTGTTCCACAAGGGATGTCTCTCACCTGCGCATTGCAATGACCACAACACATTCTCGATTTAAAACAATGTTATATTTAAAACTGTAATGTTTTTTGTGTGTGTGTGTATGTGTGTGTGTGTGTGAGAGAGAGAGAGAGATTGAGAGAGAGTTACCAAATCTGTCTGCAAAGTCACTTGAATAGGCTCAAAGTTGGTTATCAAAGGCAATTTCAAATGGAAACCTTCAGATGTACACAAGGAAAAACAAAACGAAAGAGAAAAGTCGGGTCAGCTGCATGATTGTCCATAAACATTATGATGCTGGAAAGGCACCATAGATAGGAAGCAACAAGTGTGATCTATGATACCTGGATCAGTGATTGAATTCAAGAGGGCACCTCCCCTCCAATAGACCCCAACATGACCTTCAGGGACTTGATGCAAAATAGACAAACTCTGCTTTAAATTTGAGGCTGAAGGAACTATAACCTGCAAATTGTTTAATTCAGTGCCATATTCTCTTCCTGCAAACTTAAATTATCAGCTACACTCTGGGTTATGACTACTAATAGGAAAAAGGAAAGGATGTAAAGAAAGAAGGTAACATGAGTAAATCAAATACAACCTAACATTCAGCAATTTATGCAAAAAATTGCATTTATCAATGGCTATCATTATAGTCTGGAAGTCTTCTTTAACTGTTACACACTAACCACCAACCCGAGCACATCGAGTAGTAGCCAGAAAAGGCTTGCAAGAATGTAAGTGGTAAGATGTTAATGGTATGCAATAGACAGTCGCAAGGTTACCACTTTCCAGGCATTTGTCAGAGAAAACGAGAAGAAAAAAAAAAAAAGAAAAAAAACATCGCTCTAAAACTCCCATACTCCATCCTTAAGTCCATGTTTGTACTAAACTGCTTTATGCAGAGACGGAGCTGTTTCATCAATAACCGGTACTCAACCAAACAATTTGATCCCCGTAATAGCTCACCTATGACTACAATTTTAGCTACAACTCCAAACATACACATTCACTTAAGTATGAACTTACTGAAGGATCTCAACTCCATCTGTGAAAATATAATCATATGAACAACATTGTACACAGAAGCAATTACCACAGGACAACCACCACAATGGACAAAATTAGGCATGAATTGAACCCCCAAAACAATAATTACTAACATAGCATGAGGACGAACAAGTCCACTAGGTCAAAATTAACATAAACGCTGATCGCCTATCAAATTCAACAGGCCACCTTTATCAATGGCATATATTCATAAGTTTTACGCAGATGCAGCCTATACAACTTTGCTGAAAAATTACAAACAATAAATAAAGATTACACAATATCTTTACCATTGCTGCAATAGCGATAAAGGAACATAGAACGGTGAAAATGGCGGAGTAATCACCGCCTCCGGCCGCCGGTGGCTGTGGTGCCCCGGCTCGCTGCTGTTGCTGGGCGTCCATGTCTTAAAAAGATGAAGTAACAGTGGGGATTTTTCTTTCTGTGACAATGGCGTGGAATGGGGATTTTTACTTTTGTGTAATTACAAAAGCTACCTGCATGTTTGGTCGAATCTATATATATATAATTGCTAGCTAAGCAATAAATTTTACTTAATAAATAAAACCTAATAAATTATACCTACGTGGCAAATCATTAATAAAACCTAATAAATTTTATTTATGTGGCATTAATACACCCAATCTCATTAATAAGAAAATATTTCATACATTTTTTGGGTCAATTAAGACAAAAACTATTATATTTTATGTTAATTGATTAATAATTATATTTTTTATTAAATAATATAATAGTTAATATTAAAATTAGTAATTATATTTTATACTAATATATGAAAGTTACATAAAATTATATTCTACACTAAAATCAATATTTTTTTATATGATGAAGATGTTGTTTATTAATAAATTAATTTTTTTTATGTCATAGTAAAATTTCTTAAAATCACATAAGCAATTGTTATAATAAATGTAATATTTTTCAGCTAACTAATTTTCCATGCTGAGAGGGCCGATTGTACTATGGAGAATTTCGAGAGCCAAAAGTTTTGAAACACCCATAGGTTGGATTGAACTAATGTGGAAGAGCTAAGGCTTCAAATTTTAGACCACCAATGCTTGAAGCTGCATGTTTCAGTGAGGAGCCCATCCCATGAAATATGAGAGAGTTCCCAGACCATCCTTGCCTCCATAGATTCCAGGTCTTCACCACAAGTTCTACATAGGCGATCTATGTCCATCTTCTTTTTTAGGAGATTAAGATTCACAGACATGATATTGGAGAAACATTTCCAAAGAAAGTGCTTCACTTTGCTAGCAATTGGCAGGGCCCAGCTTCTGCTCCTAGTTTTGAGCACATCAAACCTCTATTTACTTTCTTCAAAGAGATCCAACTTCCTCAATTTGTCTTCAACAAAATGATCGTAAACATAAGCCACTGAAAATTTGCCTTGTTTGCTAGTATCCCACACTACCAAGTCATTGCAGTGGGGATATAAGTTTTTTATGCTGAGAATGCTTTGGCTTTCTTCTTTTGAGAACAGGTTTTGAATAAGGCCAGTGTTCTAGTGCCAGCTTGTGCGGTTTAGTAGGTCCTGGACCCATGTAACTTAATCTCTTCTTGGTCTTTTAATCCTGAAATCCATGGATGGTGCCAAATGTTCACTGAAGCTCCATTCTTTATCTGATATCTGATCCCACTGAGAAGTATTGGTTTTGTTTTCATCCAGCTGTTCCAGAGCCAAGATTTATTTTGTTTCTGAGGAGACTGCCATTGGGGAAGTATTTAGCCTTGAGGAGCCTGCTGACCAGGAGGTTAGGATTGTTGTGGATTCTCCATAGCTGCTTATTAATAAGGGCTTTATTCATTAGCTGGATGTCATGAAATCTAAGTCCACCTCTTCTTTTAGGAAGACAAAGTTTTTCTCAGGATTTCCAATGAATAAACCCTTTTTGGATTATTTTTCCCCACCAAAATGTTGTGAAGATATGTGCAAGGTTTGAACTGGTCTTCACTAGAAGTAGGAAGCATGACATGGCATATAGAGGGAAGGCCTCTAGGATTGCTTTAATAAACATCTCTTTACTTGCATTAGACAAGAATATGTTTTTCTAAGATAAAATTCTTTTTTTTTACTGACTCTTCAATATAGGAGAAGGTTTGAATTTTTGAGTTTCCAATCCCAAGGGGCAGACCAGGGGCGAAACCATGTGTATGGTTGGGATGGCGCCGGCCCCCCCCCAAAAAAAAAAAAATCGAACTAGGGGTGAGGAATTTTGCTGGAACTGGAAGATTTTCCTTTGAGCGCGCATGTTGGGCCCTCCCCGATTTCATGCGGTGCATACATGGCCGGAGGGGCGCCACCGATTTTGTCGCGAAAATTTTGTTCACGTCGACTGAAGGAATCTGGCTGGACAAGAAGAACTATAACAGCAGCAGAATTTAATATTTTTTTGTTTTTATTATATTTTGAGTTGGTTAATTAGCCGACTTGCGGTGTACCGATAGGACTAAAAAACCGAGTCGATCATTACCGAAAAATACTTTTATGAAAGTATGGGAAGCGGAGAGTGCGTTGGTAGCATCGATTTATGATTTTGAGCTCCCGACATTTATTTTGGGTAGCCCGAAGTTGAGAGAAAAATGGCAGTGGCGGTGATTTTATTGTCATTTTCATGTCTAGACTTCGGGTAACCGTCGGCCCTCGTTAGGCGTGCTGAAAATTAGTGGGAGTGCTTCCTTGAAAGCACGAGAAGAGTAGAAATCGTTCGTAAAATTTATTTCACATTTCGAAGTTTCGAGCATTTATTTTGAGAAGCTCGAAGCCGAGTGCGCATAATAGAAGAATAAAAAGCCGTTTTGCGGGGTTCCGTAAGGTTGCGTGTGATCTCGGTTTAACGAGAATCGAGTTGGAGCGTGTAGACAATTCAAGCACGGTTCTATACGGACAAATTTCGCATTTTTCGAAGTTCTGAGCATTTAATTATGGGAGTTTGAATTTCTGCGTTAAATAGTATCAAAATGAGCAAATTGGGGTGGTGCGCCGCGGGATGGCCGGAGTGGGGGTGGTGCGCCGCGGCAAATTGGGCCCTCCCCGGTATGACTGGCTGGTTTCGCCACTGGGGCAGACAAAGATATTTTGTTGAGCTATGAGGTTGGATTCCCATCAAGGTTTGGCAGATTTGGTCCTTAGTGGTTTGAGGGGTATTTTTGCTAAAGAAGATGGTGGTTTTTAGCAGGTTAACACATTGGCCTGAGGGATTTTTGTATTGAATGGGGATTTTCAAGATAAGAAGAGCCTGGTCACTGTCTGCTTAGTGAAAAGAAGGGTATCATCAGCAAAAAGCAACTGTGTAAGGATTGGGCTGTTTCTGCAGATTTTAATACCTTTGAAGTTGTCATTCAGAGTTTCTGTTTTAATTATGTGGGAGAGAACTTCAGATATCATAAAAAGATAAGGGGATAAGGGGCAGCCTTATCTAATGCCTCTAGAGGGGGTAACATAATACATGGAGAGGCCATTCACATTGAAAGAGTAAGAGGTGGAGGTTAGACAAGCAATAATCCATTTAACAAAGGAAGTATCCCCGACTGCATCAAGATAAGTCTTACACAACTCCATTCTACTTTATCAAAAGTTTTAGATATGTCAAGCTTAATTTCCGTAAAGAAAGAGTTGATAGAAGGATGAAGGTGTTGAGGTGTGCGCTAGGTGAACGTTGCAGAGGCAGTTTAAAAGATTTAGATCGAGTTGCTGTAAGAAGTTCAAAGACTAAAGCGTGCATTTGCCCGTTTCGGATAGCAGTCCAACAGGTGACACGATCTACATCTTGGAGGATCCGTTTAAGTCCTGGTGATAGGGGAATGCATAATCATGCAGTGGCTGTATATCCTGAGGGTTATTGACAGATGAGCGGACTTAGCGCTTCATCTAAAGATATTGTCCGTGATATGACTACTACTCAGGCAAAACCAGCAGTAATTTTGGCGGTGATCCAGGAAAAAAAACCTGGAAGACAACGCTACTCTGCGACATATATATAATTATAGAGTTCAATTGCGGAGTGATAATTTCGAAGGTAGAGATGTGACTACCCAGATTCTGCATTTGGCTTCGGAGAGTAATTATATAGTTTATACAAATGTTGATGAGGAGACACAGGCGTTGACACATCTATTCATGTCGCATTCTGAAGCAATCAACCTATTCCGGACATATTACTAGTACATCGGTATAGATCCGACGTACAAAACCAACATGTTTGTTAATTTATAAACAACAAATTAGTATGAATGTTAATCAGTATGTTTGAGTAAGTTTTTGATTCTATATTTCCTCTTGTTGCTCTTATTTGCACAAGTATCAGATGCCGTTGGTGGAAATTGTTCGGATGACACCGTGTGATAAGAACTTTTTACTTGCATATGCAATTATCAAGATGAGAGCAAGTACAACTATCATTGAGTTCTATATATGTTGAGATATCTGATAAGGTTTGACGTGCATCCTACACCATTATCGCTGACAAGGAGTTAGGTATAATGACTCATATTTATTGTGGCAATGTGAAATAAGAAAAACTTAGTGTCAAATTTTTGTGTTACTCATCATAATCGAAAGTACGACTAAAATACTTGTCATCTCAGATCGAAAGCAATAGAATGTTGTAGATGAAAATTCAGAAAATATTTGTAGAAGGACAAGAGATTTTAAGGTGGTTATTCCGAGACATAAGAGCATCTCTAATAACAATACTACACAAACCCCCTTTCTCTATTCCCAATATGCCACATCATCCAAAACCTTATTCTCACTCCTACATATATAAACCTCCAATAATAATAAACCTCCTTTTTATGGTCCCACATGTTTCCCATTTATTTTTATAATTAATATTATACTCTTATTTTTTATTTACATTTTAAAACTATAACTTCACTTTTATTTTTATTTAATCTAAATGTTTCACATATAATTAATATTATACTCTTATTTTTATTTAAAACTATAACTTCACTTATAATTAATATTATACTCTTATTTTTTATTATACTCTTATAAACCTCCTTTTATTTTTTTAATCTAACGAACCCCTCTATTCAATGATGCTTGAATGACCAAATTATTATTGAAATTATATTCTCCCAAAACTCTTGACCTACACATTAAACGTGTTTCGCGCGACTTTGCTTTTTGGGCCCGTTCAGACTCGTCCAAACTCGTAATTGAGTTTCGTTTCTTCCTATATGTCGCCAACGAACCCGTATACACAACCATGATTGTCCGTAAATTTTTGGGTTAAATCTATTCCTCACGGGGTTAAATAATTAACAAATCATCCATGGACCATCTATTTATATAATGGGTGATTTGTTAATTATTTAGCCCGTGAGGAACAGAACTAGCCCGAAAATTGACTGTCCAATCATGGTTGTGTAGAAGGGTTCATTGGCGACATATAGGAAGAAGCGAAAATCAATTTCGAGCTTGGACGAGTCCGAACAGGCCCAAAAAGCAAAGTCGCGCGAAACACGTTTAATGTATCAGTCAAGAGCTTTGGGAGAATATGATTTCAAGAATAATTTGGTCATGCAAGCATCATTGAATAGAGGAGTTCGTTAGCTACGTATAGGAAAAAACGGAACTCAATTCCGAGTTCAGACGAGCTCAAACGAGCCCGAAACACAAAATACATACTACATTTTAATTTTTTTTATTCATTAATTAATATTTTAAAACTATAACTTTAATTTTATTTTAAGAAATCAATCCATAATTCCTAATATAAAAAAAAAATAAAAGAAGAAAAGTAAGTACTTGCAATAAAATTGAAAATTTTTATTTTTTAAAAATATTAAATATTGAACTTTATTTACTAAATATGAAATGAAACGACATAAAAATTAAATTAAGGAAAAAATTAGATAAAAACATGTTAATTACGCGTAGAAAGAAAAAGAAATAATGTCAAATTACAAATTAAAAATAAACAGAAAAAACAAAAACTTAAAATAGAAAAAAAAAAAAAAAGTGGGACTGTGGGTGCCATCCCCATATGGGCTTGATGGATGTGGGCCAAAGTCCCTCACGCCTCTTTTTCTCCGTGTGTTTCACGCAGATCAAAACAATTGTAGTGGCTTCACGTGTGATGCAATTTTTTGTATTTGAACTTATTTATTATTTTAAGTAATGAATATATAGGAGGTTTAAGGGAGGTTTGGAAAGACAAACCCGTGAACTTCCGGTTTGAATTATCAAACCTCAAACCTCACTATTCTAATGGAAAACCTACAGGTTTAAAATTACAAACCTGTTCCAAAACCTCCTATAAGAGATGCTCTAAACAGAGATGGTCCGACGTAAATCACATATTTAATTTGGAGGTAAAAAATACCCCATACGCAATTGAAGCACATAGTACACCTACAGTCTGAATAGATGACAAAAAAAGCTTTAAGCTTTCGCTAAATATTGTTTCAGTTCCCCATAAACACCTTTAACCACCATATAATAATACTGTCCGACGGCTTTAAGCTCTCTCTGTATGCACCGTCACTTGTATAGTTGTATCTCTCTCTCTCTAGATATCACCATTCCATTCCCCTAAAGTATACTCTTTCACCTATACTTATTCTCTCTCTCGAGCTCAGAGCTTGTCTCTCCCTCTCTCCCCTAAAGTACCGTCGTTTTGCATAATCTGGAAGCAGTCATGGCTGTCTTTGCTGTGGTTTCTTTGCTCGTTTTGGCCATGGCTGGCTATTCAGGTAAAAAAGAAAGTTCCTTTTTTTTTTCTTCCCAACTTCTTTATTTTTTCTTGATTTGAACATTTGATACAGTGTTTAATCCTTTGTGCCTTCTTGTATTTTGCTAATATTATGTAGTATACTCGAGGCATGAAATAGGTTTAAAACTAAAAGGGCCCCTTCCTCTCTTCCTTTTCTTCAAAGGGGTTGTAGAAAGTTTAGATCTTTCCTGTTACTTTTTCATCCTATGTCATTCAATTTTATTTTATTTTTTTATTTATTTCATTTACTTGAGCCTTTTATGCCTATTTTTATTTTTTTACCTGATCTGCTATAGTTTTCATTTTCAACGGATTCAATTAATTTTCCAGCTACTTTTTTCTTCTTTAATTTACAGATGCGGTTTACTGTGTTTGCAATTCTGGGCTAAGCGACACCGTTCTTCAGAGGAACATAGACTATGCATGTGGAAATGGGGCTGACTGTACTCAAATTCAGCAATCTGGGCCTTGTTTTAGTCCTAACACTGTTAGGGATCACTGTAATTATGCGGTAAATAGTTATTTCCAGAGGATGCGTCAAGCTTCTGGGAGCTGTGATTTTAGTGGTACTGCCACTGTTAGTCAAAACCCACCTAGTAAGTCTCCCACTAATCAAGAATAGTATACATATTTTGAGATTAGTTTTTATCAATCTCTATAAATTGGAGTTCCTTGCAGTTTTTTGTGTATTAATTTTCCTGTTTTGTCTTTGAACACTCGCTCTGTTGATGCAAGAACAAGCAATTGAGTTTATTGGTATTTTCACTTGTCAGTAAGTTTTGCTTAGAGATGATTACAAGAATCACCCCTAGATTTCCCCTATTACAGTAACTTGTTTATCTGTCTGAATCTCAAGAACTGCCCTTGAAGCATTTGTAATTAAAGGAGGCAGTTTTTTTTTTTTTTGGNTCTCCTTCCTGTATATCGTGTTGGCTGTGGCTTTGGGAATTTTATTGTATTTAGTTTTTTTTGTTGTTGTGAATTATTGAGTAATGTTCTTGATGAGGAAAAGGTAATTGGTACCCTTTTACCTCCTTGCACGCAATAGATATAAACAAAGAGATAAGTGTCATTGATCATCATCCAAAGTTTGACTCAAAGATTATAACTTTTGTGGTAAAAAAAAAGTAGCAATTATTGTTGATTTATGCATCTCTTGTTGATACTTGATGGGCTTTAGACTATATATTATATTTGTTTATAAACATTAATAAATGTGAAATTGACCCTCCAGCAGACATCACAGAGTTGAAAATGTTTGCATGTTCACATAATAGAAAATGGTAGATGCAACTGCGTTTCTCAAAAGGCATAGTTAGGCCCAAATGGACCCAAAGGCATCTAAAAGTTGTTGTGACCTCTGATGTCTAAGTACACAAGTTTGCCTTGTTTGCTTACAGATCACATGGTTTTATTCATTGTTTGTTTATCTATCATTATCCAGTTTCCCTTTAATAGCTGAATTCAATCAAGATCATTAGACAATCTACCAATTTAAGTTTAGTCTAATTACAAGAAAGCTATTTTTCTCTGTCAAAATTTCAAGTACTTGGCTAGTTGAAATTCTTCGGACAACCCACAATTAAGATTATAATTTTACCTGCAAATATCCTACTTTTTGGGGGAGTAATTTATATAAGATACACAACATTGGATTTGGTACTTGCAATTTTAAAAGGTGAGATTATTTTCATTATTTTAATTAGATAAGCCTGAGGATAGTTTGCTAGGCTTACACAAAATATGCCCTTCATGTTGATCTATTTGCAAAAAAGCCAAAAACCACCAAACTTTTGAAATCTTGTACCTTGATTTGCCTCTCTTCATAAGCAAAAATTATGACAAAACCCACATCTGCATGTACTAACCATTAGGATATGTTATGTTTGTAATTATGTTGAACTTGAGGTAATTTTTTCGTTTCTTGTTAACTCTTTGACCCTTGTAATAATCCCGGTTTATGTTCGGGCATGGTGTAGCACTGGAGGAACTCCTACCACCGGCACACCAACCACCGGTGGCACTCCGGCTACCGGAACTCCGGTTTCCGGTGGAACTCCGGTCTCTGGAGGGACGCCAAACATAGGTGGCACAACTGTCCCCGGCTCAACTTCAAGTCCTGGATTTGGTCTCGGGCCAACGGGCAGTGGATTCCCGAGCACGGACAACACCAGTGGTGTTGAGCTACCTTCTCAAAATCGGGCCTACACGCTGTTATTGATTTCCTTGGTCTTGATTTCTGGTTTCATTTGCTGAAGGATGTAAGGAAAAGCTGATTTGATCCTGATGAACATTTGACATTTTGGTATTGTGGTAGGCACCATGTGATGTGGATTATTCCCAAATGCCTCCTTTTTTTTTATTTGTTTTTTTCCTCTGTAGAAAAGAAAAAAAGGAGCTAAAAGAAGGAATGTGATTCCTGTGAGTGGAAATGTATGGGCTGCTGTTTATGGTGGTACAAGAATATGTTCTCTGCTGTTTAGATTTTTGCTATGTATATCTAGATAGGGAGACAGTAAAATGTTGTTGTAGTATTATCCTAATGTTTTTTCTTTTAACTTGTGAAATGAGATTTTCATTTCCTATATATATATATATATATATATATATATTAGAAATGTTATGGAGCCAACTTGACTGAAAAACGGATTCTTTCAAATAAATTTAATTGAAAAATGGATTCTCAGAATCTGTTTTTCAATCAAGTTGACTCTATAATGGAGCTAACGGTTGATTCTGCAGCAGGACTAATATATATATATGGTTGAGTTTTAGTGAAAAAGAAATGAGAATAAATCATCGTCGATTGAATAATTCAATAGTTTAAAAAAAATTAAAATTATAGCATCATTAAGGAATTATGGTATTTTTAGTAGGTGGGTGCCACTCTATGTTAATACACCTCAATATTAATAGGTCAACGCCTACTCTACATCTACTCCACCCATTCTCTCTCTCTCACACATACACACCATCACTCACCCGTAACACACACATATACACACAGTTACATACACAAATTCATAGCGGCCGCCATCCTCGTCTCCGACCTCCCATCGGCGAACCACCCATCGCCGCCGCACAGCCACCAGACGCCGGCGTTCCTCCGACACACCCATGTACACACAGTTACATACACAAACACACAGCCGATTGGAATCCTTGTCTCCGACCTCCCACCGGCGAACCACCCATCGCCGCCGCACAGCCACCAGACGCCTCCATCGCGAGGGGCGTGGCTTCATCGCGACGCCATCATCGTAATCCACTCCTCACACACTCAGTCCGACAGTCCCATTACTCGATCTCTGTCGCCGACGCATCTACCTCCGCCGTCGATGCTCGACATCTGTTGCCTTCTGCAGGTCAAACCACGCTCTCGCCGATGCGCGAGGTCACATACGGGGCAGTTTGAAAATCTGAATCTGACTATTTGATTGGGCATATTGTTGAGAATTAGATTATGTTTAGGGATTTCTTTGCAATTTTAATAACTTTAATTATATTCTAATTTAACCCCTGGATCAAATCTATAATTATTGAAAGTTAATAAAAAATATTTTTTATATATATTGTTATGCATATATATTAAACACTAAATAAAATATTAAATAAAAATAATATAAATATTAAAATAATATAAAAATAATGTATATTAATAAATAATTAATATAATAAAAATAATAAATAATAAAATATTTTAATTATTTAAGTTAATTGGATGTACGATTATATCTGATTATATCTTTACGAATACACATAATTTATCTGGTAAGGTATATACAGAAATTCCATGGTGTCCATTAGGGTACCATAAGCCATGTCATAATATGATGTGCCATATGAGGTGGTTTTATTAGTTATACTTATCAATTCCAACATGACATTAATTAGACGATTTTATTAAAATTTTCCAAACAAAAATTAATTAAGAAACACTTATTCAAGAAAATCAATTCATAAGCCGTCTCCCCAAATTCACCTGCAACCTCACGACCTCACTCATGCCACCCTATTTTGATTTCTGTTACGTTCTTTATTATTATTATTATTATTATTATTATTATTATAATTATTATTATTATTTATTATAATAATTATTATTATTATTATATCTGGTTTCTAATTTCTGCGCCTTTGATTATTTTGTCTTCCCTCTTTTTCGCATTTTCTCTCTCCTTTTTCGCGGTGTGGTGGTATTACTTTTCTGCTTATTTCCTCTTAATTCCTACTCTAAAAAAAAGGTCCCGCTGCTAGGATTGCACGGAGAAAAACTATTCATATGCTACTTCAATTCATATCCAGAAAAAAATATTGATTATTGTTGCATCATGTTTGATTCTCATAATGGATGGGTAGAACAAAAAGAAAGTGGCATTGTCGAAACTAACTAAAACATCTGCCCTGTTACAGTCAAGTCGAGCCTAAACTGAATTCGTGAGGTTGCATGTAAGTTTGGGGAGACGGCTTATGAATTGATTTTCTTGAATAAGGGTTTCTTAATTAATTTTAGTATGAAAAATCTTTAAAAAAGCCCCCTAATTAATGCCATGTTGGAATTGATAAGTATAAGTTATAAAGTCACTCATATGCCACATCACATTGTGCCATAGCTTATGGTACCCTAATGGGCACTATAGAATTTTTGGTATAAGTCAATTCACTTTATACAGCAAAATGTTGCACTTTATAAAATAACACATTGCACTCTATAAAACAACATGTTGAACGTTACCACCAAATTCAACAATTAATGTCAACAGCTCCCGCCAAAATATACACAATATAATTTGAAAAAAAAAACATAATTTACATAATTTATCCAAAAAAAAAAACATAAGCACGCTCAGTAGTTCAGTTATACATCATCACGTTGCACTTTATAAATCAATACGTTGCACATTACAAAACAACACGCTGCACTTTATCGCGATTATCAGATTGCACACTATAGATCGAAACCAATCGAATTCATTTTTCTAACAACAAATAATATAAAAATATTAAATAAAATCATTAACATATTAAATATAATTTAAATATAAATATCAAATTATTTTGATTATTTAGGATAGCTCGGTTAACCGAACCGAATAAACCATTCATTTTCAATTTGATTTGTGACAAAAATTCGGTAGGTTCAATCTGCACAATACAGACCGTTACCGTGCACCATATTGTTGGCCGAATTGCACCTTACTAACTGATAGATTACACAGTATAGCTCGTTTATCATCCGACCTCCAATAGAATTTTTGGTCCAGCTCTTTATATCTATTACTCTTTCTATTATACTCTTAATATATAAAAAGAAGGTATGAGCTCCTTCGGTCGACACGTGGCGCAAGGATTTTAAGAGCACATGTCGTTCACAATCAAAACGACGCCGTTTTTGTAAGGTCTTTTCTAGATCGTTGATTTTAGGGGTTAAATCTCAACCGTTCGACTAAGCCTTAAATAATATCCTCTCTCATTCTTTCCCTGTCGCGGCTGAACTCTCTCTCTCCCCCTATTTCTCACTCTCTGATCTTCACGATACACATGTCGTGACCTTCGATCGATTGTCTAGGCGTGAAGGAGAGTCGTTGTTCTGCCGCCGTTCCTACGCCTATTTCACATAGAAAAAGCTTCATAAACCTGTTTTTGCCGAAGATAAAAGCGAAAAAAAAGATTACAGTGATTTCTCAAGGAACAGTTTGATCGGAACAATTTTTGTTCTTTCACTTCCGTAGTTGGGTTTTGGATTGGATTAGAGCTTTTATCTTTTTCATCCTTT